GCTCACTTCATCATCATCATCATTATCATCATCATCATCATTTTGAACTGGCCAAGTTTAACTGCTATCTAGGGAGCCAGCCTCTCCTAATTAGTTATAATTTTGGCTCCTGTTCGTACTAAAATGGAAAATTAGTTCACGGGAGATACTATACTTTGAATGTTGACAAGAGAGATCAAAGTCTTGGGCGTAATTAATTCATGATCTAAAAAGGAGTGGACAGGACATAACTGAACGAAGAACTCGACTGTGAGCTTTAAGCGACACATAAATGCAATCTGGAGGATGTTAATGCGGGTGTTTTTAATATTTTATCTGTACTTGTCTCTATTTTATATCTTTCAACAATCTTCCTTTCACTCCCTGCATCTCCCACACTTCTGTGTTTGAGTTGCTCTGATTAAAATACTATTTTTTAAAAAAAGCCTCAAGACTAAGAATGTTTCCTTTAAACCCCCAGTCTTTTTAACAAAACTGTTACTCGCTGGAATATAAATTACTCTGGTCAGGCAAGAGTTTGCACAGGACCTGAATCAAATTTGCTGCCAGCTCAGATCCAGTTGGTTTCTTGGGCTTTCTTCTGTCGCGGTTTTAAAACTAGATTGTTGAGCTCTTGAACGTGGAAGAGTCGAGAGATCTGTACACAGAGCACTGTAGACACAGGGGAGTTGTTGATACTTTAGCCACGGTTAAAGGTTTAATTGAGTGCGGCGTTTGGTGTTGAAGTCAATTGGACGTGAGGGGAATCTTGGTCTAAAGTGATCCCTGTGTGGGTCCCGGGGCCCTATGGGGAGAGTAGATTTAGTGCCACTGTCCCGTAACAAGCATGTCGTAAAATGGCGATTTATTATGGGTCCTTCCTTTGAACTCAAGTGCGTCTTCCTCAGAGGCCAAAGTCTGCACACAAGCAAGACAAGTGTGTAGAACCGATGTGCATGCAAAACTCAAGTTCTGGAACAAGACCAAAGTCCGGAAGTGGACGTACAACCAAAACGTTCCAAAGGAGTTTACAGCCGGTGAAGTCTAAGTAGAAGAAGCCAACAGAGGATGATTAGGCTGCCGTGCAGAGGTGACATCTTTAGAAAACAACAGCACATCTAACATAAGAATAACCAAATGTTATACCAGAAGTAGAAGATTTGATCATTTACACAGACGGTTCAGTGTCAAGAGGCAAAAGAAGTTCTTGAGGTTTCTTAGCAAAAGTTAAAGATTGACGTTAGGTGCAGTAGAGCCTTGCATATGATACCACAACATCCAGCTTAAGAATGGAGGTGGAGGCGGTCACCGCAGCTTTCCGCTAGTTACAGAACACGACACAAACACACACACACACACACACACACACACACACACACACACACACACATCGTGATTGTAACTGACTCAGATAGCATGCTGAGGAAGATCAGGACAAGCATGTTTCGTGCAGAGTGGCATGCTTCGCTGCAGAGGACACGGCTGAGGAGTATTGTCTGGATTTTTACCCCGGGGTACGCCGGTGTGTTAGGAAATGAAAAGGTGAACAGACTGACTTGTTCTGCACAACCTTTAGGAATACTGATACATGATAAGGTAGACGTGGTTAGTGCCTTGTGGGAGAGCGTGTTCAGTTCGGAGGAGCAGATAAATCACCACAATCTGGTGAGACTGATGCAGGGGGGAGTGACGAGAGTTTCTGGCAGATGCTCGAAGCTCAGAGGAAAGGCAAGACAGATGTTTAATCAGAATGCTACTGAAACCATTAGTATCGGAACTCTTCGCTGGCTGCTGGAGATGGGGATGGAGTGCTTATGAGAATGCCCTGAGTGCTGTGATGTCGGTTCTAGAATCAAATCAAATCACTAAGACCCAACTCTTTTGTGTGGCACAGAAACCTGGAGAATGAACGAGTAATTAGAGAAAAGGACCTTGTTTACTCACTGGGCTCATCAGGAATATGGTGATAGAACCACATTCAACGGGTAATCGTCACCACCTTTTTAATGTTTTATTCGTTACTCCGCCCATTTCATTAGGCTTTAAAGTATATGGCGCATCCCAGTAATGGTTTTAACCAGTTTGTTTTGTCACGGATGTGTCGTTGACACTTTTCCCTCTTTCTATTGTACAATAGGAAGTCATAGACAACATAGTCCATGTGCGTGTGATGTGTAATGCTGACCAGATCACCCACCAAGTGCCGATTGGTCTATACAATTTAGGTCTAGCCCTGTATGCCCAATACGCCTAAAGGCGTAGGAAAAGGTCCTTTACTTTTTTCTAAATGGTCCTTTATGGCAGCAGTTCTCAAACTGGATGCCGCGGCCCTCAGGGGTGCCGCCAGCGTATGCCAGGGGTGCCGCGAGCGTATGCCAGGTGTCCAGCGAGCGTATGCCAGGGATGCCGCGAGCGTATGCCAGGGGTGCCGCGAGCGTATGCCAGGTGTCCAGCGAGCGTATGCCAGGGGTGCCGCGAGCGTATGTCAGGTGTCCAGCGAGCGTATGCCAGAGGTGCCGCGAGCGTATGACAGGGGTTCAGCGAGCATATGCCAGGTGTCCAGCGAGCGTATGCCAGGTGTCCAGCGAGCGTATGCCAGAGGTGCTGCGAGCGTATGCCAGGTGTCCAGCGAGCGTATGCCAGGTGTCCAGCGAGCGTATGCCAGGGGTGCCGCGAGCGTATGCCAGGTGTCCAGCGAGCGTATGCCAGGGGTGCAGCGAGCGTATGCCAGGGGTGCAGCGAGCGTATGCCAGGGGTGCAGCGAGCGTATGCCAGGTGTCCAGCAAGCATATGCCAAGTGTCCAGCGAGCGTATGCCAGGGGTGCAGCGAGAGTATGCCAGGGGTGCAGCGAGCGTATGCCAGGGGTGCAGCGAGCGTATGCCAGGTGTCCAGCGAGCATATGCCAGGTGTCCAGCGAGCGTATGCCAGGGGTGCAGCGAGCGTATGCCAGGGGTCCAGCGAGCGTATGCCAGGGGTCCAGCGATCGTTTGCCAGGGGTGCAGCGAGCGTATGCAAGGGGTGTCGCGAGTGGATGCTAGGGGTTAAAAAAAAAAAGTAAAGATCCCTTTTCACGCCTTTCGGCGCATCGGGCATATGGGCAGAGCGTCCCATATTTTTACAGACCACCAGGGCAATAATCAAAAAACTTTCAAAATCGGCTTCAAATCAGCGAAGACAGCAGTTTGAAACAGAAGTACCGTGCAGGAAGCCTAGAAGAATTCTGGATGCAGGTGTATAAAAAAAAACAATGCTATTAGCAAGGCTAGAGGGAATTTTCAACATACGCTTACATTAGAAAAAAAAAAAACAGATACTGGAGCAACCTTCAAGTGACTTCAGGGTACAATTAACTAAAAATCACATAAAGATAAAGTAAATAATGAAAAATTCATCCAAACAGTTCATTCATGGCATGAAAGATAACTGGATATTAAATCTGCACTGATTTTTCTTCTTTTCCTAAGTATTTAAACCGCTGTAAGAGTAGGTGTGCCGCGAAGATTTTTTAGTCTGGCGGGTGCTGCGGTGAAAGAAGTTTTAGAAACGCTGCTTTTAGCGATAACAAGCGAAGAAGTAGAAAATAAACTTTGATGAGAAATTGTGGGTATATGATTCACCCCACGCTTTTTGCAAAGACAATATGACATCCGATGTGTAATTTTTTTTTTCAACTCCATAATAAACAAACAAACAAAAAAACAAACAATTCTAACAATGCCATAAAACAAACTTGAGAGCAACTCTGAGTCACTGTTTTTGGGTAACAATCAGTATTTCAATTCCGTGGCACTGAGCCATCAAATCACGATGACTATCTATCGTGCGTTTGTTTCACAGAAGTTTGTTTTCTGAAGTAGCGATGGGCTCTTAGCCTATTGCCAGGGAATTGTATTCCTAATTGATTTCCGTCCAATTTAAGTTTATTCTGTGCTGGGGCGATGTACATCTGAGAAATGTTAGCTCTGATTTTCTTTGAAATAGAAATTCTTCCGGGTAAAGTCACACCATTTTTATATTTAACACTTCAGTGCAAGAGGGAAAAAAGCGCGCGTTAGCTCAGTTAATGGTTAGTTGGTTCGTTAATTGCTTTGTTGTTTGGTTGTTTGAGTAAAGTAAAAGTAAGAAAGTCTTTTTCTACGCTTTCAGGCTACGGGCTTATAAAGCTAGATCTATATTTTATAGAACAATCGGTACTTGGTGGGTAATGTGGTCAACATCACGCCGGCCGCCTTTACTTCCCAGGACTGTACCTGGTATTCACTAAAAGCTGGGTCGACCTAGGAGTCATGGTCATTTTTTAATAAAGGGCGTTTCCGTTATGACACGAACATATGACTTTCCGATACGCAGGCGAGCGTCTAACTGCTATCCAACGATGACTTCCTTTTGTTACTTAGGCTGGTGAATTTCTTAGAAGACTTCAGTTTAAGTTCAGCTCTTAGGTCGGACGCATTATCGTTTTGGACATTGAAGGCAAGAGGAGTCTCCTCCTTACCGACTATGGAAGTGAACTGATCAGCTGTACATTTATGTGTAAGTTAAACTATTTAATTGTATGATTAACAAACAAACAAAAAACCAGACAAAAGTTATTTTGAGATAATATATGTCAACGGTTAGGTTCACGTAAATCTCCCCAAACAAAGTAGGTCAATTTTCATTCACAAGTTTGTTGGGCTGGTTGACTTTCCTAAAGTTTACAGGTGTGTCCCGTTCTGTTGTTTCGAGAAAGACAATACCTGTGACATAGGTTGTTGCACTCTTGGGGGGGGGGGGGGGGGGGGGGGGTTGTTAGGGCCAGTTGCACTGTGTTTTTGAAGCGTGCTGAAATATACAACACGCGATATCAGCGGCATCGCGGAACACACCTAACCTTGTGCCAAGGTGAGAGGTTCAGGAACTATAAATCAGAAGTGCCCAGTGTGTATGTGGGCGGGGCGTGGGGAGATTAACGTTACGAGTACCATGTCAACTTCTTTCAAAAGTGCTTTCTGCATTTTTTGTTTACCAACGTTTGCAGCGTTGGTGTCAGATACTTCACGTGATAGCCCAGTACTTTGCCACAACCAACTTCGCCTGGATGTTCTGTGAAGGTCTCTATCTACACATGATCATGGCTCAGACGTTAACGACAGGCAAAACATTGATAAAATGGCTCATCATTGGCGGATGGGGTGAGTGAAATCAGTGTGAAAGAAGCTAAGCTGTACTCCTATTTCTCTTCCCGTGTGGGTTCTGGAGCACCACTGTGGCAGGGGGGGGGGGTGGCGGAAGAGGATAGACCCACTGCCCTCTCCCTCTCCTCCACATCAACATTCATATCACGAAAGTCGACTCATTTGGGGGTGTTTCCTTGCGTTGGTTTCGACACTGGTATCGAGAAGCCCACCGTGCTGAAAGCAATGGCAAAAT